CACATACAAACCATATGGATCACCATATTACAGAAATTCGGATGAAATACGAATTCCCATCCACTTCCAAGATCTTATTCTTGATATTGCCGAAAGTTACATATATATAGAAGGTAAATTTACACCTAGCGAGGCCAACAAAGTCTGTTACCTATCTAACAATGCGCTGGCATTTCTTTTTGACGAGATTCGCTACGAAATGGGTGGAGAACAAGTAACTGTTATTCGAAAACCAGGTATGACAACTACAATGAAAACCATGGTGTCATGGGGACAAACACATTTAAAGACACTATTATCTTATGGATGGGGACTAACAGAAGAAAACCAAGATGTTTTGGATACCGCAAGTCATATTTTTAGTGGGAAATTGCCTCTAAAATATCTTATGGGTTTTGCCGAGGATTATACGAGGGGCATCCTCAACGTCAAACAAGAGCTTATACTGATAATTGCTCGATCTTTTAAGAATTGCTATCTTGGAGAAGTTGATGCTGATCTTGAAATTAATAAAATCGAATGGAGGATAAGACACATTATCCCCGAAGATAGACAAAAATTGAAATTGTTAAATCGTATTAATAAAGGTGGTTCTAATGCTACAGTTAAGATGGCTTATCGTATGTGGGACCTATATGAATTACCAACTCTACGAAAAACATCTACTGATATATGGGCTATAAAGACCACCAACAGTTTAGAAAGGCCTAGATATGTCATTATCGGTTTCCAGAACACAGATAATTCTGATAATAGAGAGAAGGACGTTACTCAATTCATCCATGCAGATATAAGTACTATCCGACTATATTTAAATTCGGAAGTGTATCCATATGAACGTTGGAATTTAGATTTTGGAAAGAAACTAGATTCTGCAGCTTACTATGCTTATGAAAATTTTCAACCCAGTTTCTATGACAAAGATAATCATGAGCCGATGATGGATATTGGAGAATTCCGAAATAACCCTCTCTTTGTTATAGATTGTTCACATCAACAAGACGCCATGAAGTCATCCACTGTGGATATAAAACTGGAGTTTGAAACTCGAAAAAAACATTTTCCTGACAATACACGAGTTTGTGCATTGATAATTCACGATACTTACTTCACTTACAATGCTTTGGATGGTTCCGTACACAATGGATTTAAGTAATCTGACAAATATCTTATATGTTCCAACAATTTTTTTAGTTGTTAATGTATAATATTTTTTATGTTTTAAGTATTTATATAAAATATTTATATGATGTATTTTTTCTGTATTCATGTAATAAATAACAACAATAAAAGTTTCAAATGATATATTTATTTTATTTATGTTACTTACATAATATTTATTAAGAAAAGTGTTAATAAAATACATTTATTAATGTGGTATACAATTTACATAACTATAGTAAAATAATAAATTACATAAAATTTCATACTACATTTAATTATCTTCAGCGTTATTTTGTTCGTCATCACCATTTTCTTGAGATGTTAACTTGTATTTCACAACAACGGCATATGACAGATAATCGAGCAAATTAGAAATAAGATACTGTCTTAGTCCTAACTCCACCATTTTCCCACAAAAGTTGTCCAAATTTAATGTGTCGCTTAAATAATCGCTACATAACGATGCACCACGGCGAAACATTTCATAATCTTCTTCTAACTGTTTAACTTTTTCTTCGGAAAAGCAATAATCCATATCATGATTACAAGCGTGAAGACGATCTATCGCCAGACAATCCAACTCACTCATCAATCTTTTCCCGACTGACTGGATGTCGACCGCATCACTCCAATTTTGGCTAGCATAATGCATCCACATTTTTTTTTGATAGTTTTTCTATAAATAAAAAAAACATTGCGGTTAAAATGGATATTGTAATAAAATATATAAAATTATTCATTACCTATTATGGAATTATAATACAACACAAAAAAAACAACCACAACCTNATATAACAAAATTTTAAAATATAGTCGGGTCTGCAGTTAAAGCCAAATTTGAAGTGTACTCTATTTTATTACTCGAGCTTTCGGAGCAAAATTATTCCTACCTCATGAGAAACTACAATGAAATATACATTGGTAACAACTACAAGTAATAAACTAACTTATACTTACAAAATTGAGATTTGATTTTTTATTTTTTATACCAAGATTAGAACAAAATCTATTTGAATCATTAGTCATAACCGTACGATACGTAAAAAAACTATTGTTAAAAACATTCATTAACACTATTCATAAAATATTTATACTAATATTGTTTAAAATTTTGAGCTATTGCTTTACAATTACATTTTAAAACTATATAACCTTAAAAACTTTGCTCAGCCATGTGGCAGCATGGAATCATAATTGAACCAAAGAATCATAACCAAAATTTTACTGACACAAAAAGTAAACAGAACAAAATGATTGAGACAACCATGGAACAAGTAAATTTTAGAAATAAGAAGAAAGTGAAATTTAGCGCTAAATTTTGAAAAATAATTTCTATAAGCTGGATTCACTAACGTCATTAATAGATGAATTATTATTATTAATACTTAACAAATATGTGAACATGATACTTAAGTTATCAATGTCAGAACGTCTATTCATAGTGTTCTCACATTGAAAGATGCTGCACATCTCAAGGAAATTTCTTTTAAAAACATTATTTTCTGTAAATTTTATACTTACTTCGTTAAAATCAATATCATGTTTACAACTATTTGTATGGTTCGACAACATACAAGAATTCTTATTAAGTCTAATGTCACTTTTATGAGAAACAATCCTATCTTTAAGCCTCCTACCAGTTTGCCCAATATAAACTTTTTGACAATCCTTACAAGGAATACTATACACTACATTAGATTTATGTAATAAAGGAACCTCATCCTTAAGACTAGAAAAAATATTTTTAATAATTAACTTATTCGTAAAAGCTAGTCGAATGTCATTCATATCCGAAAAAATGTTTTTTAATTTCCACGTTATAGATTCTATATAGGGTAATGAAAAATATGAAAAATTTGGGGGAACCGAAATATTGTTAACAACACTGTTTATATGGGAAGTACTGCCTGACCCACCATTAAGAACAGAATGTGAAGGAGAAAGAACTTGTAAATCATTATTTCTATTAAAAAGAATTTTGTTAACAAGCCTTCTTGGGTAACCACATTTAAGGAACAATTGAGCAAGTTTTCTCAGGTTTTCCATCGTTTTTGAACGATGTGACGTGCGTAAGACCCTATTTTTCATCCCTAACAATAAATTAATTTTCTGTTTCATGGGGTGGTACGATGCAAAATGTAAGTATCGTCCTGATGCCCCAGGTTTTGTATACCACGATGTGTAAAGAATATTGTTTTCAGCTCTGAAAACTTTAGTGTCAAGAAACGGAACACTTTTGTTCTCGTCTTCTTCTTCCACAGTAAATTGGATGAAAGGGCTATAACCATTAAAAATATGTAAAACTTGTTGTATGCTACCCAAGGGAACATTAAGTATAATATCATCAACGTATTTTTTAATAAACGGAATTTCAAAATTTAAACGATTAAGACATTCGGCAAGTAAGTCATCCATCACATACTGAGCTAATATGGGTGAGACAGGATTACCCATAAATTTCCTTTTTAACACATTGACGGGCAAAGAAGAAGTTGATTATTGTGAATTACAACAATATACTATATACTCTTTGCAAGTATCTTAAAATCAATTTAATCCACGGATTCTCAAACAGCTAAAACTCTCAAAAAGCTGCAAAGCTTAGAATATCATCTTCCACAAGTCAAGATATATGCAAGTGCAACATGGCTGAAGGTAGAAGTTATTGGGACGATATAGTAAAAGTATTAATTACTGATGCAGAAATCAAAAGATGGTTAACAGATCCAACAGAAAAATCTGGTATGGAAGAAGTTAGTGAAGAATTTAGAGATGATCTAAGAGATCTATTTGCATAACAAGGATTTGATGCAAGAAAAATAATTTCTTTACTTAAAATTAATTATGATCAATATATGACTAGTACTAGAGATCAAGAAAAAACTTATTCTTTTATTGTTAATAGTGCTGGAGTAGAAAAAGAAATTAAAATCACCAATCATGAAAAATTGTTCAAAGACATACAGTTCTTAATAACTCTTTTTACAGTCAGAGGTAACAATATAACTAAAATTAATGACAAAAGTTATCCAGAACTAAATTAAGTTATTGAAATGTATAAAGAAAAATTAGGAGTAAATACTGACAAAAATAATCCTAATACTCCATTACCACCAACAACAATATTTCTTCCCAGAATTTGTGCCTCTTTCCCAACAGTTACTAGTTTACTTTACCATGATGGAATAGGAAAAGTTATGGTAGATTTTCATTCTTTAGGGATCACTAGTGAAGTAACTAAAGCTATTTTATCTCCCTTTTTTACATCATGTATTCCTAAACAAATTATCAAAATTGGAGAAAAATAAATGCTAATTTATTATTCTTTCTTGTTCACATTATTATAGATAATGTTATTCACAGAAAAGAACAACAATATACAAGTTTAGATGATATGTTTAGCTATTATAGAGCAGCTTATGATTCAAATGTGACTCCAGCTTCTGCAAGATTGAAGTTTTGCATTAAATTAAATTTAATTACTAAAGATACAACTGATTTTATACCCTCAGTTATGACTGCAGTAACATTTGCTGAAGATAGAATTAGATCATTAAGACCTAATGATGTTGACTTGAATAAAGTTATTTTAGATCTTAAAAATTTAGTTCAATAAGTTTTTTTATAAAAATTAGGTTAAGGTAGGAGAAAAGAAAATTAGTTTCTTTTCTCAAAAAAAAGGCAACGGCCATACCACGATGTAAAATACCAGTTCTCGTCCGATCACTGAAGTCAAGCATCGTCGGGCGCGGTTAGTACTTGGATGGGTGACCGCTTGGGAACACCGCGTCGTTAAAAAAAAATATTTTAAAATTTTGTTAGTTAACTTAGACAGTCGTCTAACACTTTGGCAATATATATATATAATGATATTGAAAGCCGATAACGATACACAATTACATAATACAATGAAATTTTGAAAATTATGACATTAAAATAGAGAACTCTGGCAACAGGGATGTGTTATACTATATATGAGAAAATGAAGGATACAAATTAACGTATAGAATAAGTTTTAGTACATAAAAGGCAAAATCGTTACATGATAACAGCAATCTGTCAAAATAAATTAAATAATGCAAAATTTTAAATTAAATAGTTTAATGAAAGCAATAATACATACTAGAAAGTTAAAATGTATAACCTAGTACAACTTTGTAAAGATATTCATCATATAGGAGCATTGGTTTGGGGAAATTTGAAAAATTAAGATTTTGACAGGTAGATTATCGTAGGACAAGAACGAGATGCACTTATAAATTATTTCCATGCAATAAACTAAAACTATAATTAAAGTTCATCATACCTTTAGTCTATATTTATAAGTGGAATGAAAATTAAAGTTCTTTAGATAACTTCATATAGCGATTTTCGAAATGTCAAACCCATAACTCAACATTGTGTAAAATTTATTGTGTAAATGATATTTCTCAGATGTAAAATGACTTTCCAAACGGTTTG